AAATCCAAACAATCCATTAATTCATAACCATAATATTTTTATTTTTAAGAAGTAGCCTTAAAAATCTGTACTGTACTTGAATTTGCTGGTTTTGACTGACCACTGAAGAACTCTTCCTGGTTTCTTTATCCATCTCCCAAATGTGATTGGTTTTGTTTTTGCAAGTCATGTGGTTCTCAGCAAGTAGCATCATATGGCGTGACTGAGGGATCTGATAAAATGTCCTTAGAAGTAAATTCAGGATGATTAAAGCATTCCAGTTAGGTAGATGTGAGACACCAGGTGAGCAGTACAAGTGAATTAGATGGGTTGGGATATTGATAATAAGCAGATAAGCAGTAATTTTGGCTGCTGTTGCTTTGCGTGCTTTTACTTTTTTCATTCTTTTAGAGGCAGAGAGGCTGTACTGTGCTTTCATCACTGCTTGCACACACTTGCTTTTTCACTGCTTTCATTGCACTCTGCTTGATGGAATTGCTGTCACAAAAACCCCACAAACCAGCTGAAAAAGAAAAGTGTTTCCTGCAAAGTGCTAAAGGATGGGTGCAGGTTTCTATTATTCATGCTGCCTGCGATGGGGAGGATGCAGAATCCTGAGAAGACTTTTGCTGGCACCAAGCCAGTGTAGTTGGTGTGTCACAGTGCCCAGCTCCACACATCTGCCTGCTGTTCTCCTGAAGAGGAGAGGAGGGGCTCCTGGGGTCTCCTTTTCCACTGCTTTTTCCTTCTGGTAGAATAGAAGGAGCCAGTGGTAGCCACCTGTAGTGAGTTACCTGAGAGGTACTCAGATAACAACTGGGGGCCAGGACAGTCATTACCCACTTCCTCTAATAGAAAAACAGCTGAAAAGCAGCTTCATTTCAATGCAGTGCCTGAATACAGCTCAAAAGATCAGTCATTGCCACTCTTACCACTCAAGTTCTTGCCTCAAAGCTGTGTGCATTGCTGCTTTGAAGTTGTTATTTCAGAAAGAGTTTGTACATTTTGGGGGAAGGGGGGAACTGGAGGGTGTGCAGAGAGAGAAGAGGAAACTGAAGCATTTAACACCAAATTTCATGGGGATTATTACTTTTAGATTACGTCTGTCTCACACCAGTGGGAGGCAGGAGCTCCACCAGGTCTTTGTAAACTCTTTAGCTTACATAACACAGGGATACATGGGATGCAAACACAGCAAAAGACTGATTTATTAGTTCTCAGGTTTGAATTCAACATCTGAAGTCCACGAAATGAGCACATCTCTGTTACTTTTGCTCATATGTCCCACCATATTATTGACATAATAGCCAGCAAAAAGCAAACATATAATGATTCTCCAAATTCATCTTAGCCTTTTTAAAATTCAGTGTAAAAAGTTATAATCCCAAGGAGTACATTTCCTGTATAGAAGAAAATTCAGGTTTCTGTCATCACTCTTGGCTGAGGAGAGCTGGTGAGGAAGCAGACAGCATATGGTTACATGACTGCTGAGGTTTGCATGTAATTTGTGGTCTGCTTAATTCCGTGTTTCACGAGACATAATCTTACATGTAAATAAAGGCACGTTTTATATTATCCTACAGTGGGTTTTTTTTTTCCTAAGGCTGATCAGGGAAGCCAAACACAATGATCAAATAATCAAATCAAGACTTCACCTTCTTTCATTTGCCTGTTGTAACGAAAGCTTAGAGAAAATCTCAAAAGAAACCAAACACAATCATCCAATTTTAGGTGCTGTTCACTGTACTTGCTGCCTGAAAACACAGAGAAATGACACTCCCCCAGTGTGTCTGACTCTCTAATAAATTCTTAACCCCAGGCTATTACTCACAAAAGCCTTTTTAAATGTCATTGAAATCATCTTCAAAACATTTAAGTGTTCTATAAACCTAGAGATTGTAAACTACTATCCAATTTTTTTTAATAAATCTAGATTTTGTTTCAAAGAATCATCCATTGATTTCTTCTGTCATGTTCATATTTATAAGATTTAGTATATTTTTTGCTTCTAACTTGTTTATCCTAAATAATTTTATCTTGTTTATGACAGTGTATGATATGATTTGTCACCCATGAATGTTTCTGTTGTCACTAAATCAGCTAAAAGATCATTAAAACAGCTTAAACAAACTAATAATTTTTTGGTCTGTGTCTGCTAACAGATTCTGGTTTTAAATTTAGAACAAGGCTTTTTTCTTGAAATCTGTTTGTTGAAACTCAAATGTTTCAACATTTGAGTTGAAACATTTCATTGTTTCACGATCTTTTCCTTGAATTGTGATATTCATTTATTCACATGCATCTAGTACTGTAAGTGCAAGAATGATAAATTGAACTTGATTGATCAAATGGATTTTACAGATTGGACTGTTTTCAAATTTTATTCTTCTTTTATTATTACTCTTTAGTGCTTGCAAGTTGCAAAAACTCCTTGGGTTTGTTTTTTTTTTTTCTCTAGAGGAAAGAATCTGTGATAAATCACATTTCCTACTGAAGAAACCTTGAAAACAAGTACTATGATGGATTGTCTTCTTGATTCACCTAAAATTTCTTTGGTATTTCAAGAAGACTTGAATCAACATATGAGCAACTCAGCAATATGTATGAACAACTCATATGTGCCTGACTTTAAATAACATCTGGTTTAGGCTTCCTAGGTCGTTATTGCTACATAAATTACTTTGAAAATGGACCAGAGTTGCCTTCTGAGGCCTCAAGAAATTTGGCCTAAATTCCTAGGGAAAAAAAAAAGAGCAAGCAATTAGACAAAAACCACCAGAAAACAATTTTTGGTGTGAAAACACGTTCCATCACCTGCCATAGTGGGTGTCTGGTGGTGTCCCCCCTTTTTCCTTTCCCCAGGCCTATTGTATGTTTTACTTTTCGGCAGGAGGGCAGTGCTGTTCGCTTTCCCATCATTTATCTCCAGTGGGTCCAGCAGTGCTCACAGGCCATTCTTCACCCTTCCTACCATCAGGCAGGGGAGTCCCCACCCAGGAGGTTTCAGGGAGAAGGGGCACCAACTTTGGCTGTTGTGTGGGTGGTGCTGGGGCTGCTTCCTTGGACGGTCTGTGCCATCCAAAGACCAATCAAAGGTTTTTCTTGGTCATTTGGGAAACTCAGAACTTCTTCAATCAACTGCATGCCAGCTAGTTATGAGGTCTCAAGAAGTGTCACTGGCAGCAGGGAGGGGAGGCAGTTTGGGTTTTGTTTTCCTGCCGTCCCTTTCTGGAATTGCATTATGCTGCTGTCAGAGCAGGAATGCATTTGATGTGGGGGACGCCCATGCTGTACCCACAGAAATCTAGGAGGAAGAAAACCCATGACCTGTGAGCCATTGTGGTAGTCAGGACACCCATTAGCAAAGCTTTTGAAGATAGGAAGTAAGGGTTAGAGAGTCTAAGGCTTTGATTGCAGCTCTTTGTAGGAAGGACCTGAAGGCAGTAATAATACTCTAGTATACAGATTCATAGGCCTGGAATGTCACCATGACTTTAACAGCCCAAATAATTGCCTTTTCTTATACTCCCAGTTGAAGATATGATTTATATAGCAATTATAATGCACCCCCTCTCGTTTTTAGATCTGTTTCCAGCATTTAACAATAACCTGGATAATTCTTTAAAATACATATTGGTTTAACTTATTCCTTTTCTTAGTTTATTTCAATAGATGCTGTGGTGAGACTGTTGTTGAACAGACCTACTACTGTAGCTGTGCTTTGTGTAGTCTGTAACTGATTTACCTGGTGCAAGGATGGCTTTATCCATGCACATAGTGTTGTAGCAGGAGTGACTGTGTCTGTTTATACCATGGCAACTGTGTAAGTAACTCCACATGATGTGTGAGCACTTGCATTGTTGGCACTGTGAATATCTGGGTGATATAATTTCCCTGTCACAGTCCTCCCAGTAACCTAAGGTACAAGTCACTTGACCTTCTGTGCCTCTTTTCACCATGTATAAAAATGGGAATAATTACTCATCATTACCCTAGCCTTATAATACCTGGAGGTACCTTGTTATTACAAGGCTGGGGAAGGAGTCCTATAATTACATGAGCAGAAAAACACATTTGTAGAAAGACCAGCTGCTTAGACAGACATGCAGATGGAAGATTAAAAGCTTCTCTGCCTTGTCCCTCCAACATAATTTTCTTCAGATTGGAATACTGTACTTTGTACTTTTACAGGGATAAAACTGATTTATCAGACCAAACTCTAAGCTCTCCTAAAATATCAAAAGCTAGGTCATTATCTTAATATCTAAAGCTAAGCTAGGCTAAACACAGCAGACCCAAAGCTTACATTATCCAAGATGCATCTTCGTTGCACACTGGCAGAAATCCTGAGTAATTTACTCAGTGGAGTTACATCCTTGTAAAAGTTATGTAGACGAAAATAGAGCTGGAGCCTCAAGTTTCTGCTGTTCCATGAAGGTCTGAACTCACAGACCTGTTTTTAATACAAACAGCCAAGCGAGGCTAAGAGTTGTGATGAACACTCATTATTTATCTCATTTTCATTCCTTCTCTGTATCCTGCAGAGTAAAGTGCAATTCTGTCCTCACCGGAAAAACTGGGTTCACTCCATGCTAAACCTCCTAATTTCTGTGTGGTGTTGTCTTCAGATTCACTGGAAACCCACTTGCCCAGATGGTTGTGCATTCTTCTGGTCCTTGTTACATAGTTAATTACAGACTGTACATTGAAAGAAGAATATTTTCAGGTTTAACACAGGCAATTTTTTTAAAGCTGATTGGTATTGGTGTGAGGTTGGGTTTTAAAAAGCATTATGCAATGCTGCTTTTTGCACTGCTTTCATTCTTTCATACTGCTTCTATATTGCAAGCCATTGCCTGTAATTGTCTGAGCAGTGAATCACTAAAAGTAAAATAATTGTACAGATACAACTATCACAATAATTTCTTTTTTCCTTTTGTGTGTATTGCCTTAACAGTAAGATTTGAGAAGGCAAAATACATTTCAGGTGCAAACACCAATTGTTCTGTTTCTTTTGGTAGATGTACCGACACCAGAGGCTGGAAGAAAATTAGTGGATGCCTCTGTAGTGAACGGCAGCCCAGCACCCCAAGGAAAGCAGAACGGGGCCACACAAGTGACAGTGCAACGCAAAAGACTCCTTAAGGCTCCCACGTTGGCTGAACTTGACAGCTCAGATTCAGAGGTAAAAAATCAGGACACAACTTGATTCTCGATTTGTCAGAACTGAGTCTTGCTTCTTAGTTTGCTGAACTGATCAGATGAGAAGTGACTGAGCAAATTATAATCCGAATTTTCCGTGGCTGCTTTGTCAGCCCACAGAACTTCAAAAATACTAGATCAGATCCCAAAAAGGAGAATGCTCTTTCAAAAGATTAAATGGTAATTTTGGCCATTACTTACTTTCCTAAAGGCCCAGTATCTGTCCACAGTGTGTTTGTAGCAATTATGCTTTTGGGAATTTAGGAAAGTACATAGCACCCTTCTGGCACTCGTGCAGTAGCTGCTAAAGGACTCAGATGTGGGGTTAGCCTCACCATAAAAGCTGTTAAATAAAGAGCAGCAGCTGTGCCAGAGGGGTTGCAGTTTGGTGCAAATGTTAGTGCATTAATTTGCTGTATAAGATTGGGAACGAACACCCCAAAAATGTTTCACAAATAGGGACAAGCAAATACCACTCAGATGGAGAAATAATTTTGAATTCATGCACTCTAAATGGAGAGTTAAAGATTTAAAAAAGCGTTAGAAGGAGAAAACCTTAAAAAGCTTTTTAGCTTCAAAGCTGCATTATATATGATCCTTAGGAAGTACCAACATTGCATCCTCAAGAATGAGCTTTGTCTTCTGGACCAGTAGTGTTATTAATTGAGTTTGGACCTTTCTGAAAGTTAAGCTGTCTGGAAAGCACATGCAGGCAGGCTTTATTCACAGAGGATAATTTTAGCCTGGGGAAAGCAGTCTTCCCTGACTCTTTTTCTCTCTTGTAAATGGGAAAGGAGGGGTTGCCTGACAGGGCGGTTACAAAGGCGTCTATGCTCAAAGATAGAAGGCTGGGAAGAAATATATGTGGGGAGAAATTTATCTCTTTGCATACTTTCTGATCTGTGAAAGGTTGGCCCTCTTTGGGGTTATCCTGTGGGTGACTTGTGTGGGTGCATAATTTGATGCATCTGTTCTGAAAGCAGAAGAGATTTGCATTCTGAGATCACTCATCAGTCTTTAAAATTACAATAGAGGCTATATGTGGTTTGTTAATATGAATGAAGCTGGGCAGGATGCAGGAATACTAAGATCTGTCAGTGACAGTCGGGTCTTACAGCCTGTACCTCTGTGTATCCTGAAGCATCATGTTATTTCACACAGGAAAATGAGCAGAAGTGAGTAAAAGAAAATTGTGTCATGGGAAATGTGAAATGCTTCTTGTAGAAGGGAAAAATAAAACATCTGAACATGACTATTGATTAGGGAGTACTGTGTAGGCAAGCAAAGTGGTATGGAACAAACTCTGGAACATACAGCAAAAGATAAATTGAAAATAAATCAACCACATTGAACTGTCACAGAGAACAGATGCTGGACTAGTTTGAGTCAATAGAAATAGCTGGTGAAACAACTGAGATGATAAAGATGCTCAGCAGAATACTGGTTGGGCTCAGGAAGAGTGCTATGGTAGTGAAAATAAACTGAAGGGAGTTTGGGTGAAGTTTTTCAAGGTGGTGAAGGACATAGAACATTGGAAGAGAGTGAAGATCGCTCTGTCCAAATGTTTTATTTCTTCTCTGACTTTTACTTTGTATGTAACACAGAGAAGAGTGTGTATGTTGTTCTGATTGCCTGTAAATGACTCGGCCTCCCCTTTGTCTGCAGTTTGAGTTGGGCTTAACCTATTTGGAGTTACTCACTGGGAGTGAAATTATTACTGTGTAGTGCCCTAAATTACAGGCTGGAAATACCAGCACTGCTGAGCTGTGGACCTCCAAATGAGCTGTGATGCAGATGCATTTTCTTCCCCATGCGTCCCCTTTGTTCTTTCATCAGTGTTGCAATGCAGGCTGTGTCCCAATACTCAGTGTAACCAGGCAGAGGTGAAAGGCAAGGTCTGATACAGCCCTATGCCCATTTTCTATCAAGGATGAATATTAATTAAATTCTTCCTTCTTTCTGTCCTTGCTTTTTCTGCATCACCACTAAAATCACAGATTCCAGAGGGCGTGGAACAGGAAGTGCCATTTTGATTTGTGTGGCTGAGAGAAGTAGCAATCTAATAGTAACTTTTGCTACAGATTAAAAAATTGTCTCTTCCTAATGAAGCTACAGCTATCTGGCCACAGATTGTGTCTGTAATATATTTAGATGTTTTAAGCTGCAGCTTTCTCAGTAACTGTAAAATTCTAATTGTTTGGCACTTTGGAGAAGCGCAGAGTCCTGGATGTTTGGTTGATGCAACCTCAAACGTAAAAAGTCCGATAGTCTAACATAAAAATCAACAGTTGCTGTATAGATATGGAGGAATTTATGCAGTGGTTCATCAGGACTTCCTACACAAGATTTCATTCTCAAAAGAAAGCCCTCTATGTTTGAGAAATTGTAGGACAGCAATAGCATTGTCAGTGCACGTGTTTGTGCACAGAAGTAGTAATTTGAAATTACTAACCTGGAATACCTGCTAAGTAGGATTTTATGTCCAATTTAATTTCCTCCTGGCTTCTGTTTTCCATGTCTTGGTTTATACTTAATATTTTTTATACTTAGCCACTGGCTCCAACAGTTCATTCTTTAGAACAGCAGAAGAGCTTACATAGTGCTTCATCTTAGCTCATTAGCTTCTCTGGCAATGGTAAACTTGTCATCCACTCAGAACAATCTGACTTCTACAAAGTGAAAAGTTGAGTAGTTCCCTCTGTTCAGCACTGTTCTCTTTCTCAAAATGTAAATATTTTACTCCAGGCTTGTGAACACTCTTGCACCCCTTCTAAAGGACAGTGCTTCCAATTGTCATGGAGGTTCTCCATTGGTCTTTTAAGGCAACCATGCAGCAATATGCAGAGGTGTCTTAGCCAGCTCTGTAGCTGAACTGTACTGATTTCTGCAAGCAAAACAGCTGATGCAGCTCAATGTCCTGCTCAAGCTTTCTTACAAGCTTCCCATCACAAGTGTTTTGTGGGGTCGCAACTGAAATGTTAAAGTGAATATACTGTTTTGGGATGTGAGCTGCAAGATCCCTTGCAGAGTACTGTGTTGTGGCAAATAGGTGGGAACAGTTTCCTCAAATACAGTACCTACCCTTGGGCTAAGCCTAAAGGACAGATCACCTGATGGGAATTTGTAGAGGCCTGTGTCCTGTGATGCGTGGTGCTCATTGAGGTGATCCTGCCAGCTTTTCTTTCCGACTTACTGTTACCAAAGAAGGCAATCTTTCAGCCAGTGGAGATTTTCAGCTGAGGAAATCTGTGAGAGAGAAGCTTAGCCTCTTGCTGGATTTTAGGGCAGGTCACTTGTTTGATCTGTAAATCTTGACAGCCTAAATGATGTTAAGTCTTTTTGGTTGAAAATGTTCACATTAGAGGAGAAGAGCGTTCAGGCTCAGTCCTTCAGCACTCTTCATTTGGGAGACTTCTGTGACGATCTCTTTCTTTGCTGGTAGCAGGTGACTGAAGACGGGCTTTAGGTGACAGCAAAGGATTTAATAATTTGGGTGGCATAAAGCTTTAGATAGCTGAGAGGTGTTTAGTCAAAGCCCATTTCACTTTCACAGGAGTTGCCCTTGGCTGTTGAGAAGAAGCATGCAGATACAGTGAATGAGATTTCTTTTAAATACAGAAGAAAGGAAAAACACACAGGATTGGGAATTAGGGAACAGTGCAGTCAAATTCAGCTTAATTTCTCTTCACCTGAGTCACTTGTGTGAGTGGCTCTCCTTTCTTTGGAGGCCAGAGAAATCTAAGTGCTAATTCCTTGTTAGTGTGAGATATAAAGCTGTGTTAACATATCTGCCGTAGCTGCAAATCCCTAGAAGTCTTTAAATACAAGGGAAATTTACAGTTTACAGTGGATTCATGCACCTCTCTCCTGATCTTGTTCTTTCATGCAAACTGAATTCAAATTATGTACCATTTATTTCACTTTCTAAGAAACTGAGCACTGAAAATTCTGTTTGCTCAGTACTGTGCAGAGTCAATGTTTTTCTCAAGACTTCTAGGACTTTGAGTGACTGAACGGTCCAGAATATGTTTGACAGCTTGTGTTTTCTGTGTGCTAAAAAGCAGTAGAAGAACTAGAAACAGTCCCTGAGGATTTCTGTTTCTTTCCCTCTTGCCACACAGGAGGAATCAGTGCACCAATCAGGAAGTAGCAGCAGCATCTCCCCCTCACAAGTGGAAGACCCCTCTCAAGAAGGCGCCAGCAGCAGAAAGAGTGAGTTATGAGAGAGCCCACTGGCTGCTTTTACTCACCTCTGTTGTCCTCTGTACTATGAACTTCGTCTCACACTTATATGGAAAGCTGAAGCTGAGTGTTGTTAATGGAATAAACATCTAAAGCCGAACCCTGCTAAATGGGTCAAGCGTGATAAACAGTTGGAAGGCATTAGCCTCCACTCTGGGTGGATATCTTTGTGAAACAGGAGGTTTCATCCCTGAAGTTTATGTAGGACTGTAGAGGAAGTCACAAGTGAATGGAGGGGATAGTTTAGCTATGCTCATCTCATAAAATAATTTTTTGCTATGGAAGCATGTTCTAACCTAAGACCAATTTAAAAGTTTCCTCCATCTCTGCCACTGTGGCAGTGTTTGAAAGACACTTAGCAATCACCAGTGTTTCCCAAAAATACTTACTGGGAAAAGGGCAAGATCTGGCCTTTTTTTTTCAGGCACAGTTACTGCAGATTTTACTGTGTAACAATATTTTTAATTTGTTTGAAGTGTTTCAGTTTCATTGGGAAGGTTTTGTAATGAGCTGTGTAATCTGTGCATGTGTTTTTCTGTGTACGATGGTGAAATAATGAGAACAATATCCTGAAACACCTCAGTATGGATATGTAACTTCAGCCACCGGTAGTTGGAATTCTAGCAAATCAGTGGTTGGATTAAGTACTGAGCACTGTTATCCAATAGTCTCTTGTAGAAGAACTAACTATTTTGTACTGATTGAATCCTTAGTGCCTCCAAAGTTCTTGCCCATATCATCTACGCCGCAGCCCGAGAGACGGCAGCCGCCTCAGAGACGACACTCCATTGAAAAGGAAACACCAACCAATGTGAGACAGTTCCTACCCCCTTCAAAACAGAGCTCCAGGTCACTTGTAAGTGGAGTGGGTGGTAGGAGAGAGAAAAAGAGGAATGCTAAGAGTATAATGAAAATTAAAACTTGGCTTCAGTGTGATTAGAACATGACCAAAGAAAACTCCTCAATTCACAAACAGCTCTTGGCTACTAAAGGTGTTTTGAAATCAAGATTTGAACTTTGTCTCTCTAACATATTTATCCAAAATCCCAGGTACAGGTGCCTCAGAAAACATTTGCACTGTGATTAGGACTCCGGGTAAACAACGTGTCTTGATTTTTGTTTCAGAATGTTACCAAAACAAATGAACTTCACCTTACTGATATTCCACTTGAATAGAGACAATTCCAAAGCAGTGGATCTATTTTGGGATTTGGGGGAATTTTTTTAGTTATTGGAAGTATTGCAGCTAATAACTGGCTGAATTGAATGATTTCTTTTCTTCCCACCTTAAGACTTGCCTGGTAATGTTTATACATACGAGAGCTCTTTCAGTAATCCAAATCACGGTTTGTCTGTGTTGCTTTGTTGAAGTTACTGAGGCAAAAACCTGTTTTACTGCTTGAAAAGAAAGTGCAGTGCATTTGATCAATTAGCTTTAATTGAGAACTGTTTTCCAGCAGAGTACAAACAGCAAAGGGTATGAAATCCTGGTTCGTTTATGCTGACATACTGATTAGTGCATTGTAATTTCATGCAGGGTATGTTCCTTGTCTCTTTTCCTACCAGCAGGGTTTCAAGGTGTGCCCCATGAGGGTGAGGTGAATAGAGAAATCGATGAACACATCTGAGTTTTGAAAGGAAGGGAATATTCACCTGCCCTGTCTTGTAGTGCAGTGGTATTAAAGGGCTTTGAAGAGCATTTTTACCGGCCCAAGAGATGACAGCCAGGATCCAAACCTATTAAGTGATGAAGCTGATCAGTTCTAGGGAAAATACCTCCAAATATTCCCACAATGGGCTTTTACCTATTAGCTGATGAAGCTGATTGGTTCTAGGGAAAATACCTCCTAATATTCCCACAACAGGCTTTTCCTTTTCAGATGTCTGCTGGATTTTATTACGTCCTTCCAAGCAGAATGTAGTTTCTCATTCCAGGTGCAGGTCAGGTAGTAACATGTTGATAAATGCACGGCCCAGGTGGACATCTCCTGCCAAAGTGAACTTGGAGCAGCATGTATGGCAGCAGACCCATACTGGAGAGCTCCTTCAGCATGTGTTTGAAGTCACTGTCACATAAAATGGGTTGCTCTATCACCTCCTGCTGCATTCACTGTATGTGGAAAATGAGACTTTATTTTCTGGTAAGCCCAGTGTCATTCACAGACACTGTTCAAATAGTTCAAAGGGAGGATGGCAGAAAGCATCCTGTGTTATACTGAGACATTTGCTCCATCCCCGCTTCTAGTGTGTCTGAGTGTGCTACATTGTAATATTAATCTTGTGTATTTCAGAGGATCATGCAACTTAAAATCTTATATGAGGCTGTTACTTTAAATAGGTCAACCCAGTTCTTACCAGAACCTTCTTGACCACATACATACTCTCACTCTGTCAGTTTGTTCGTTGACATATGCCTAGAAAAATACTTTAAAAATAAAACCATTGCAGAAAAACTAATTCAATTATTCCATTCCCCCTGAAAAATACTAAAGGAAAAGGGAAAAAAAGCCATTAGATAAGTCAGGCTAATTTGGGAACAGATGGGAAGGGTTTTATAATTTCTTTTGTGTTTAGGGGCATTTTTTTGTTTGTTTTGGTTTTTGGGTTTTTGATTTTTTTTTTTTAATCTCTAGAGAACTGTCACCAGCTTGGTTTTGTCTTTGAAGTGAAAAAGAAGGAAGCTGGTAGTGAAATGATGTTCTGTTAATAAGAACCTATTTTATTTGACGCCTTGAGAGCTGATTCTTTAACTTGGCAATAGTGCCCTCTAGGGTGTAACAGACACCTCCCTCAACACTCCTGTTTTTCATTTTGGGAGATGTGTTCTGCTATGCTGGCACTGGCCCAGTTCCAGGCTTTGGCTTTCTGCAACTCTCTCCTTCCCAGAGGGATGCCAACCTCTTCCAGAGGCTGCACCAGATGTTGCACCTGTGAAATTGCCATTCCCAGAGTGAATGCTTCTCAATAGGTGCAGAGTATTATTTATTTTTTATTTGACTTCACACTTCTTTATCCCTTCCTCCAGGATTGATGGAGTTTCATTTCTTATCACCAGCTCCTGTGACCCTGGTTTCTCTCCAAGGTGAAAGAGGCCTTGTCAGCAAATAGCTGTCAATGCCAGTGAAACCAGGCAGGGGTTTGCTACAGTCTCTTAGCACGATTAGCAAGAAACTGCTCTGTCTTGCATACTAACGATGGTTTTGTGAACTGGCATCTCATCAGACTGAGGTAGTTAGGTCCTAGTAGGTGGGGAGGGAAACAAACTTGGAAAAGTGCCAAACTCAGTCCTTTTGACATGTCACCCTGCCAGTGGTACATGGAAAGGCAGGGTGGCTCAGTGATTTTGAGGGGGTCAGCCCTGGTGGTTGCTGTAGTGAGCTGATTTGGTGCTTAATCAGTGAGATCAATTCCGTGTCCTGAGATTTATGTGGGGGTGCCTTTGCAGTCTGTTTGCTTTTTTAATTACTATTTTTATTATCATTATTTTTTTCATGACCCAGAGGACCAAAGCTAATGGTTTCATTTATACACAGCATTCGCTTCTCTGCTTCCTATCTATTGTTCAGGTTCCTAGGATAACCAGTTTATTTCCAAGGATGACTTTCAGACCACTTTTTTCAACTATGCAAACAGCTTCTCTGCTCAGCTCCCATCCCGTTGAAGCAGCCATGTGCGGGGTGGCAGGGGCTATGTACTATCTCTGTGAGAGAGCTTTTGCCAGCAGGTGGAAACCCGCAAAGGTTTGCCTCTTTTTGCTGGCTTTGGAAATCACCTTCACCAGCATGTTCCCTCCTAGGGGAGCACTTCCTCAGCTGTGGCAAGAATTACAGCTTAGGCTGGGACATTGCACCTGATTGACTTTGATTTCAATGTGTGTAGGATATTTGTGTGTCTTCAATCACCTCACGGGGAAAAGAAATCAGTTCTGAAAGGACAGCAAACTAAAAATGCAACATCACCAGATTATCAATGGGACAGACCTTAAATATTACAGCACATGAAGATCATGCAGCAAAAATCCAGCAAAACTATTGTGATCCTTGGACTATGTTGAACAGAATAAGGTTTTATGTTTCTCCCAAGGTACACTACGTAGAATGGGAGGGCATTTGCAATCTGCTTTACTTGAAAACCCATATATTGTTTTGGTCCTCAGCACACTTATGTATCAGAACTTGTAAAACAGCTCATATCCATCTATCAGGGACAGCAAATCCACTGAAAATAAAAAATAATTAATTTACCCGTACGTTAACTGAAGATTAATTATTTAATTTTTCCTTCTTTTTGTTGTCCCAACCAATAAGTGGAAGGAGGAAGAAAGTTGTAGGAGAGTGTATAGTTGAGATACACAGCTGACCTTTTAGAAACTTGTAGTCTGCAAAAGAAGCAAGAGTTTAGAGTGCTGACTAATTGTGAATTGCAGAATTTAGAGGCCACTCTGGTGCTCATTCATTTTGCAATTTACTAATGCAACTCGTTTGAATGTCTAGTGACATCCTTTAATGAGAAGAAGGAATACATTAGAGTAAAAATGTGTTAGTCATAGAACCTATTAGGTGTGTGTACACTGAGAATGACCTACAAAGCACATTATGGGTATGCAATTCTTACTACTTGCTTTTCCTGCATAAAAAAATTATACATACACACATTGAGGTATAGTATTTATAAAATTATTGCATAGTCAGAGTTAAGCCAGTCCCCAAGAGGATCATGGACACTTCAAGTTCAAAATAGTATTTGCAAATAATATTTTTCCCCTTTAAAAATAAGTGTATTGGCGTGTGTTTAATATTAAAAAGAGTATTGAGTTTAACTCTGGAAAATCAAGACCATTCAAACCACATTTTGTCTTTACCATGTTCTGTCACATGCGAGTATTGCAGAGAGTACTCTCACATGGAGCTGCTGAATTTGGGTGCAGGTTTGGAAGTTTGAGCAGTAACTCCAAAGCATCATTGTTCAAAGAAGTTTAGCCAGTACTTAGCAAAATTTAATTAATTTCAGTGCTTTAGACATAGTGTAGGAAAAAAAGATTTTCTTGTGTACTTATTTATATTCTGAAAAGGGAAAAAAAAAAACCCAAGCAGTTTTCTGAAAACGGATTATTTATCTTTCATTTAATGTTGCATTAACATTTTGTTGTCCTTGTGTAACCACTGGAATTAAAACATTAGCATTTAAACATGTGAATATTTTCTATGTTTCCCCTGCTGCCTGCTGGCTATTTCTATTTTAATGGTATTCATTTTCGATTGGTACGACAACAGGCCCACACTATTCCCCTAGTACGCGCTCTACACCTATAGCAGATCCGCAGAATTTCTTCAAAGGAGCAATATTCCCCGACGTCATCGTTCTGTAAATTAAAGGAATGGGCGTTCATGAGGGGGAAGGAAGAGCTTCAAGTAAGAAATGTCTTTCTAAAGGACTTAAAGCTCTGGTTGATTGCAAGCATTCAGTCAGCCTCATTCACCTCGGATAGTTTCCCTCAGTCTCCCACGATGCAGACTGGGGGGTTTTGCTGGCATTGTGTGCATCCCGCTTTCCCACCCACTTCCTCTCCCGTGCCTCCCCAGCCTTCAGCCGTGCCTTCCCCATAGCAAGGCAGTTGCTATGGGAAGAACCCAGAAGGAAACGCTGAGAGCTGCTGGTTAGCTGTAAAGTTGCTCACAAGGAACAGAAGATACTTTGTTTTGGCTGTGCAGTTTTACACCTCAGAGCAAATTGCAGCTGCTGTTGATATAGTTTGTTTTTTCCAGAAAACTAGTTTTCCATTCCCCAAAGGTTTAGCTGGCAAATCTAACGAAGTTAACTTAATTCTAGTCTTTTGTGGGGTACCCTAAACAGAGTGAAGTTTCTTTGTGTTCCCTTTCTAGATAGGTAAGACAACAGTTTTTAAAAATGTGGTGGTTCCTAAATGCTAATGTTTGCCAGATCTGCAATGTAGAAGGATTTTCTTTTTAATCTGATGGAAAGACAGAACTCTGAGTACATGGAAATGGAGCATTTCCGTACTAATCCGATTCATCACTTCAATTTGTAAACGAGATCTCCAAACTGTCAGCCACGTCTTTGTGTATGCAGGAGAAATTTCCTTCGTTTATTCAGAGAGCATTGCCTGTCATTGTCATTACTGCACAGTAGCCCCTCTGGCTGACTGAAAAGGTTCACTAAGCATTAAGCAATGGGAGTTCCCACAGAGGTTTCTGTCTTTCTTTTGGAAATGTATAATCAACTACTGGGCTGAATTACAAATTGGGTTGGTGCTTTTTATTCCCTGGTACCAAATTCAGGAGTTTTGCACTCAATATTCTCCTAAATGCTGCAACATGGAACAAATGCAAAATTTTGTAAGTGAAAAGTTGTGCTGTTAATTCTCTGAGTCTCTACCATTTATAATGCAACACTGAGTAACCAGTTCACCTGCTTGATACTGGAGCATTATTCTGTAAAGCTTAAATTGCTGCTGTTACTTTCTGGGGCAGAAAGAAGAATTTTTCTGCCTGAGCTGATGTAACTTTTTGTAGTCTTGGTGTGATTCTGATCATGTGAGCACCAAGATGTGGTACCACTGAATAAAAATTTTTGCTAGAATGGGCTACTAACAACTTTCCTTGGCCACTCTGGGCATCACAAAGTCTGAGAGAACTTATTTGATGTATACCTCAAACAGTATACATAAAATAATGCCATCTACCATATTACATTTTCCCTTTCAAATTATAAATCTGAATGTTGATTGGCTTGAAACAAATGTTCACAATGAAAGAAAAATGGAGAGAAGGGTCAAGTGATTTTAGAGGAAAGATGAAGAAAACTGTCATTGTTGTGAAGGCTGAACATAAAATCATTTACATGACATTTATGCAGTTTCCAATGGTTTGGCACTCGTGTGATGCCCATGAATGAGCCAGTGCTATTCCAGTTTGATGGGAGAAGTCCCCTGTTTCTGGAGTTACTAACCAGGTGGCTGGTTGTCTAGATTGAACTCTGGAAGAAGCCCTTTGTCTTTGAAATAATATGGGGGTTTTGGCTTCCAGGAGGAGTTCTGTTACCCCGTGGAATGTCTGGCTCTGACAGTGGAGGAGGTCATGCACATCCGTCAGGTGCTTGTGAAGGCGGAGCTGGAGAAGTACCAGCAGTATAAAGATGTCTACACTGCTCTCAAGAAAGGAAAGGTAGGGCTGAGTCTGGGGAGGCTCTGAAGGGTACTGAGGGAGGCCAGTTGCACAAGCCTCCCATTTACATATTTGTTTCTTACCCTCTATTGGAGAGAAAGAAGAGTTATCCACCAAACATCCCCCTAAATATGTGGTACATGAGTCAACTTCCTTGAGTGGTGTCCACAAACATCAAAACTTTTCATGTTTGTTCAGATTGCCTATAAAAATGCAGTAGCATTTGCAGTTATCAGAGTGTATCTGTAGGTGTCTGGGTTGAACTTCACTGACTGAGGTGATTTCTGTCCCCATGACTTCTGCAGGTTTGGTTACCTTTTCTGTTCCAGAAAACAGAATTACAGATAGCAACAGAAAACTACAAGTTCTTAATATATGAACCCTTCCTATCAGGCACAGAGGGAATTAAAGCCTTCAGAGAAGCCAACCAGAAGGAGGTTTAATATTAGAGACCCCTTAAATAATGCATTTTTCTGTAAATGCAGATTGGAGATAGGTACTTCCCAGGAGAAGCAGCATCCTTTTCTCCCACTTCTAATTTGTGCTTCTTGGACACCTCCAGAAAGCCTATTTTGACTGCACTGTGTGTTTTATCTACAGGCCTACCTGTGTGGAATGTGCAGATTTATTTTAAAGGTTTAATACATTTAAGGTAGAGGAACAATAATCTTATAATGTCATTCATTAGAGTCAGCTGTTTCCTGTTGTCATGACATATAAAGCTTAGTAAGGAGCTTTTATCAAATCTCAAAGTAGGTTGAGGATTTAATTAATTTGTCCCACTATTAAAATTGTTTGATTTTATTTCTAACCAAAGTTATCTAGTTAATGAGCAAGTATTTAATTTATGCAAAACAATTAAAGGCTTAATTCTAAATATATGAAGATACAGTTCTGGACCTTGTTCTCAATATTATCTTAGAAGTTCAGACCCCAGAAGTGGATGTAGCCTGCCACTGTGACCTTGCCAACAGCAACTGGTCAGTGAAGTCATCGCTGTGTGGGACTCTGCTTAACACTGTGAACTCCTCTGTTCTTCTTCCTCTAGCTCTGCTTTTGCTGTCGAACAAGAAGGTTTTCTTTCTTTACCTGGTCTTACACTTGTCAGTTCTGCAAGAGGTAAATATTTTATGTCTGTTAATAAATGAGTACAATTTCTTAGGGAACATGATTGATTTATACATTAGAAACCCTCAAAAATTTCTGCTGCATACTGTTGGTTGGGTTTATTTCCGTAACAGTCTGTGTTAAAAAAAAGTATGCAGAAACATTTCATTTGTAAGTGACTGAATTGCTTCCTTGGACTGAAACTCTCGACTAAAAGTGAGAAACATTCTTTTTCTTTTTTCTTTTTTCTTTTTTCTTTTTTTTTCTTTTTTTTTTTTTTTTATTCTTATGAGAACGCAAGATGGAATTTACTCAGACTCCCCACTCAACAGTTTTACAACCTCTGTGTTTGGGGAAAACATTTCAAGGCAATTTACTTTTTGTGCTATTTTTGGAGTATTGGGGAAGGGGAAATGCAAGAAGGAATATTTGCAGGCAAAAGGATAAATTTTAAGTTAACAGTGAGATAATAAGTCAGAAGATCTATGCAATCACTGAGTTTTGGTCTCATTTACCAGAAGAGGTTTCTTTAGAGGCAAACCAGCTTATTTTTCTTTTTTTCCCCCTATTTTTTAATTTAGGTACCATTCTTGTTCAACATTTCTCCTTGCTTCTGGCTTCATATTCTGATTGAAGTTACTATATTGAAGAAGCTTTAAAAATAAAAATGTTTGTTTAAAGGGAGGGTGGAGGGGGCAGGTTTCTATCCCTGAAATCCCTTATTCTTGATTTAAACATAATTTTTCCCAATGGACTGATTCATGCTCTTGTTTTTTTACACAGGCCTGTATGCTCACAGTGTTGCAAAAAAGTAAGTAAGGAAATTTATGTTTCGAGCCTTTCTAAAAAGCTGCAACCTTTGTAATGATGCCTTGTGCTGTTCCCAACAGATGCGGCTGCCATCGAAGCCATACTCCACCCTCCCCATCTTCTCCCTGGGACCTTCAACCTTGCAAAGGGGAGAAAGCTTCATGAGGCCAGAGAAACCCTCTAGCAGTCACCACCATTCCCTGCGGAGCAGGTGAGAGACAACCCGGCCTTGCTTGTGTCTGTGGCAAATGTTCCCCAAATGTTTCAGGCTGGGTTATCAATCATGAAGATGCTGCTCACCTGGTTTGTAGTTGGCCACGTTTCTAATGCCTGTAGTAACTTTTCTGAGGCCTGAAAAGCCAGGTGTCTTCTAGTCATTGCTTTGATTTACAGAAATAGCAGCCTAAGAGAGTCTTAAACCTTTTTCACATTACAGCTGAAAAATAATGAGAGTCTGGGACAACTGTATTTCTGTAGGACCTCTGAAAAAACATCCTTAACTTGTCTTTTTCTAGTGTGAATGGACTCCTTGGAGATAAATTTTACATGCTGAAATCACCCACTGAATGAGAATTCAGTGATGTGTAGTGCACAGATTTATCTTCTTTTCCCCTAATTTTCTTACTCCAATTTTCATAATTTTTTCACTTTAGTATTATGAAGTTATCTGTTGGCTTTATATCTTATACATAGATGGTTGTCAAAGCTAATCAAATATAAAAGAAATGCTCCTTTTTGAGGGAATCTGCTGTATAAACCCTCTGCATGTGTAGAGGGTAGTAGATTAGCTGTGTAGATTAGCCATCAGCTATTTTTAGTTACTAGGAAGGTTGTTTTTTGCCAGGATGTAAATGTTACACACGCCCTCAGTCAGTGACCCTGCAGTCTTGCCAATCTAGGCAGAAGCTGCCCTCTCCAGTGTTTGGAGTAATTTGGGACAGGAGGAAGGAAAATTTAAATCCAGACCTTTCTGATGTGATTTTTTTTCTGGGGCCTGCAGCCAAGCTGACAAATAACATGACAGGTCCCCCTCTTTTGCCTTTCAGGTTGACCTCAAGGTCCAAGTCTGTGGATAAGTCACACGAAGAGTTTCCCAAAGAATTAATGGAGGACTGGAGTACAATGGAGGTTTGCGTGGACTGCAAGAAGTTCATCTCAGAAATCATCAACTCAAGCCGGCGCAGCCTGTCCCTGGCCAACAAGCGAGCCAGGTTAAAAAGGAAAACGCAGTCCTTCTACATGTCCTCTCCAGGAACCTCGGAGTACTGCCCCTCGGAAAGGACGATCAATGAGATCTGAGCCCCGTGCCTTCTGCTTTGCTTCATCTCCACGAGGCCATCACCATCAACGAGGTCACTGGAGCCGGATCGTCACCCCGTTGCTTCGTTCCACTTGACTGGCTTGGGTTTGCATTCGGTCACAGGATTTCCTGCTCCAGCAGCTCCCAGAGACGCAGAGCACTGTGTGTGGATCTGTGCAGGGCGGTACACGGCGGGGCAGCTGCTCGCACTGGGAGAAAATCAATCGTTTGAAATTGTTGCCTCTTTTGTACGTGTGCGTTGAAATGAGAAAGCCTTTTCTTGCTTTCAATCTTTTTTTAACCATGCTTCGAATCATTTTTCGGATGAGCTGAGAGCAGGTGTCTGGTGGGGAACCAGATCTAGCACAGTGTCAGCGTTAGCACCCTAGCAAACAGTAGGTCCTGCTGCATTCCCACCCTCGGAATGCTCGTGCCCTTGTTGAGGCAGCCAAGGGCTGCTCGCACAGCAGGCACCCAGCGTGAGCAGCTCCGGTCAAATCCATCTTCCTTTGACCCGTTTTGGTTGCTCTGAGATCAGGGTTCAGCACGGGGCTCTACAGTGGCAGTGTCCTGGGGCAAAGCAGGTGACAACGCTCTTCGCCCGTGTGGTCGGTCATACCCCTGAGCTGCTGTACTTCTTAAGCCTTAGTGTCCTTCTGAGTGACTCCTGAGCAGGTTTTAGTAGTTTACTTTCTATCTTGAATGTATGATAATGACTACTAGTAGCAGTGAATTTTAGTAGTAGACAAAGTTGTACAGTTTATGGGGAGGATGGGAAATAAGGGAGGCTTCTAATTTTAACTGAATACCTGTAAAATTGTTCTCGTGGTTACTCAGAGTAAGGTGTAAATTTGTATTATAATGGAGCACACAGATACTGCTATAGTTCTGTCTGACAGCATATCCACTAGTGACCCCATTTTTTCTGGGGTTTATAACTTGGCTGTAAAAATTCGTGTTTGGCTGAAATTTGGGCCAGTGCTCTCTCAGATTGGGAGCAATCTCCTTTTTTTCTTTAATCTTTTTTTCAGTCTTTCCCCCTTTTTAATTCACTCACAAGGGAGTGCTAGACTAATTGTTTAGAAGTTCCAACAATTTTACAATGTTAACTGACATCTCATGCTTTTTTGCACTTTTTTTATATTCAAAATACTTTTTTTTTTTTTTTTTAATTCAGTCATAGCCAGAGTTTAGTCAATAATTTGGGGCCAGATCATTTTGGTATTTAAAAACTAACATAGCCAAGTTATTAATACTTGAAATCAACTACTGTAACTTTTTTCATAAATTTTTTAATACCCTGAGGCATATTTAATATCTATATAGCAGTGTATTATAGAATGACACAGCAGAAAAGTTTCAGATCTATTTATTAACATTTCTATTCTTCAAGTTAATGAGAGATACCTCAGAACTGCTCCAAAGTAGCTGGGACTGGACTTCCATAACATAATTTTAAAGGTGTATTAAACAAAACAGCTTCCTCTGTCCAAAAAGCCCAAGAGACAGACAGCCCCTCTGGCCCTGGCAAGGCACAGTGCCCGGGCTGGGAGGCACCAGGGCTGCTTGGCTCCCCTTTGGCAGCCTTTGGAGCAGCCATCCATATCGTCCCTTTTAGGCTTGTTTGAAAAGCACATGCAGAAGTCTCTTCCCAGGGAGTCAGCCATCCTTATTTTTTTCTTAAAAGCCCCCTTGGAAAATGAGAATTTTCACATATGTAGGGCTTATTGAAATAGTTTCTATTTTTTTCTGAACCAATGCAAACAGGAAAAGCAGGGCTCAATGCTAACTCTCTCTCTTTGCTGTCCCATTTAAGGTCAGGTGTCACAGCCCTCTCCTCATGGTACCTCTGGAAAAGTGTCTTGCCTGTTAAGGCACCTGGAGTACTGACATGGGATAGGATGTAGGATTGCAGGGGAGCAGCACAGGCTGGCTGGTGGGAAAGGTTCTTCTGTTGCTGGAAGGGTCGCCTGATCTCAGTCACATCAGCACTTTTTCTTGTTTCTGTGCCAAAACCAGGCCGTGAGTTTGCTGCACAGTGCATCAAGGGAACCAGACAGAAACAAACGCAGGAAATCTCACTTTGCATCTGCCCTGTTGTTGTCAGGATTTTTTTCATGGAGATGCCCCGGCCGTGTTACAGTTGTGCGGTCCTCTGCTCAGTCTGCTTCCCTGGTGTCCTCAAGCCACCGAGGTGCAGGGCATCCAGCACATTTATCTTCCTCTTGGAGAGGAATTTGGGATGTTGTAGAGCAGGCAGGAAGAAGGACTAATAACTCCTGAGCGTGTGAAGGCAAACATGCCTGTGCCCTGCTCCACTCCGGCAGTGTCCGGGGGTGGCCCTGGGGCAGTGGCAGAGCCCTGTGATCCAGCCTGTGCTTTCCCAGAAGTCCCACAAGTCCTTGGCCCAGGGCAGGCTCTGCTGTGCTGAGCAGGGCACAAACACTGAAAAACAACGCAGTGGTTGTACAGATGGCTCCCTGTTGCTCACACAGAGCTGCCATGGGCCAGGGCCTGCATAAACTCCCTGTTTCCCCTGGAAAAAACCCTCCAAGCTGCTGACACATGCTGTGGCAGGCTCCAGAAGACACGGTGTGGAGGGCAGCCTCTCCCCTTGGCTCCATCCCTTCCTCCCTGGCACAGTTGCTCCACGTTATCCCGGCATTTCATTCCGCACGCGGAGAAGCAGCGGGTTGGTTCATCGCAGGCAGCCTGAAGGAGCTCAGCTCGCTGTTGCCTGGCTCTGCAGAGGGGGCTATTTTTAGCTCTCCATCTCCTCCCTGCCTGCACCAGCATCCCAAATCCACTGCAGCCATTGGCCCAGCACCCCGTGGTGCTGCCCAGCATGTCCTAGTTACGGGCTGAACTTCACGTCAGCGTCAGAGGGGGAAATCAGAAGCTTGTAAATATCTGTAATATATTTATTAATATTTAGGAAGTCTCCATCAATCATGCAATGGGAATTGAATTTCCCATGATGTTTTAAAAAGGAAACGAGTCTTATTTATATGTGTATTGGCTGTTATCTTTTCTTAGAGTTAACGCTTTCAGCCCCCTAATACAGTTTGCACATCTTAGAGCAAATTACTGCTGAAAAGAACGCGGCACTAGCACAGTGAACTCTGTTCCACGAATTTTAAAATTATTTTCTTTGGGTTTTTTTAGCTTGATTAGTATGCCCAAGGTCTGTTAAAATATATCATAGGAGACCCAAGGAGCTAAAAATGGCTTTGGCAGCATCAGTCTTGTTTTGTATGTGAACCTGGTTGTGGGGAATGCAAAACCAGCTCTGCCTCACGGCGGTGATGGAAGATGTGAGCAGGCTTTTGCTGCAGCTCTCAGACCTGACCTTTCAAGTGTTCATGGTGACAGTAGTGTTTTGAGGGGTTGTTGGGTTTTTTTTCCCCTTTCTCCGTTGCTTCCTTTATACAGGGAGGGGTGTTACCTGGTAAAAATAAAATGCCTTTCCATTATAACCTTTGTCTGTGTTAATTATTCTTGGGGAAGCTGATTTAAAGGTTCTGTCTCTCTCTTTTTTATGCTTTTACAGTTTTGTAAGATCAGTCAGATGTTTCTTTCGGCAAAGAATTGTTAACAAAAATGATTGCATAACAGCTGAACACTGGCTGGGCTGCATGAAGGGATGAAAACCTGTCGAAGTACCTTTAGAATAGCAATAAAAACTGCTTGTGTAACCCCAGTGATGTGATTAGCTCCTTGTCATCATCTGCAGCCAACTCCCTCTGTTACCAGTGTGCTTGCTGCTCCTTCCAACACTGGAGGGCTGCATGAGGCAGCACATTTGTCCTGCATGTAACACAGGCTTTGGGAAATCTCCATCCCTCCCTCATCATTGGGAGAGAAATGCTGACAGTCTTTTGGAGAAGTTTTTGACTAATTTGGTTTAGTTTTTTAAACCAGAAGTGGAGAGAACATTATTATCACAACTCTTATGTTGTTCTCTCTTCTCTCCTGAGCATCCCTTTTTCCCCAGTCAAGTTCAGCATCAGCTTCCCTGGTTCGTTACTGGCTGCATGCTCTATAGGTTAAAACTTATTTAGAACCTCCAGCTTTAAACTCCTGATTGCTGCCTTCCTGCTTTACTTCATCCAGCAGCTCTGCAGAACTCTTAGGAATGTCTGTCTTACAGCTCAGTCTCATCTGTGAAACAGTGACAGCACACAGGCATGAGAGAAAGGTGCTGCGACTCTACACTGGTGCTACAGCACATGGATTATGTTCATGTTACCAGAAAATTTTATACTGTTGCCATGTTGATAACTTGGAGCTGCTCTGGTTTATTTCTTCTTTTGTATATGTGTATCTTAAGGCCAGTCTGAGAATGTTTATGAATACCAATTCCAGCTATAGAAACCTCTTTCATTGTTTCTGCCTGATTTTTACTACTGTGTTTTAGACTTTTTGGATACCTGAAATCACTGTTCCCCAGAACTTGCTTGTAGGAGAACCATGACAGGGGGCATTAGCTCAGCCTGATGTGACACTCAAAGCACAGAACCCCCATGTGAGCGGCGCCTGTGAGCTCCTGCAGCCCGGAACAGAGGCAGCCTGGGGCCTTCCCTGTTCCCTCACCTTGACATTGAAAAATCCCAGAGCTGCCCATGTTGTTCAGCTGCCCTGGCACAAGCTGTGAGCTGCTCTGTGTCCCAGAGTCCCCAGCTGCAAAAAGACACTTCAAAGTGGTTACAAACTGTTTAAAGAATTTTGAGAGCTGCTGCTGCAGAGCTGAGTGCTCAGTGTCAGAGCTGAAAGGATCCTGCAGTGCAAGTTTCCATCTGCTTTCAATACTTGAAAACAATTAGTCCTACTTCCAGGTGAAACAAATTCCAGAGAGGTGAAACTTGACAATACTCTGACAAGCAAAGACTTGTGAATGAATTTTTATATGGTAGGTCTGCGCTCAACAAGTGTCACGGGGCATAATCAGGAGAAGGAGCTAAACAGGTATCGAATTTTATGCAGTAGTAGCTTAGTTTGTTCATTTGCAATAAATCAGTTCAGTGACGTTCCAGTTTCTTCCCTGGTCAGGCTGTTTGGCAGTGGCAGTGCCTGGCTGAACTGAGTGTCCGATGTGAGGTAGCCCAGGCTCCGTGTCCTGAGGTAACAGGAGCTGCTGCTGTCTGCACGGGGCAGCGAGATGGGTTCTGTAGAACACTTATAGATTTTTGGAACAGCCCTTTGGAACAGGCCCTTCAGAACAGACCTTACTGTAGCTAATTAAAAAATACATTTGTAAGCAGATCGTATTTCAAGGTGCCATGCTGCTACTGTAAACTCAGAGCTGAAAAGGACCTGTTTGATTATTGATATATTTGATTTAAAAAAAAAAAAAACACCCATAAGAGCACTCAGTATGAAAAAAAAATATATTCTTGGTCCCTCCAATGCAGCTGAAGGTGTTTCCACTAAGCTTCAAGTCCTCTCTGCATTTCTCTAACCAGTGACACCAGTGCCTACAAATGGGAGCCAGCAATGCTTTGGCTTTTGCAGGACGGGCCCTGGGGCAGACAGTGCAGTGTGGGATTTTTTAAACTGCATTTCAGAAATCTGAGTTCAGAAATCTGCTAAATCTAGAATTAAAGGACATGGGCATGAGTTGATCTGCAGGAGGCGAGCTTCCAAAGTTTGGTGGAAATAAGCACCAGTTCAGCTGGCACAGATCTATAGAGAGGCAGCACGCTCATGGCCCAGCTTCAGCTGAGACATTTCAGGTGGGCATGTTCCTGCTGAAGGGATGGTGGCTACACTATCTGTGAATCAAAAGCAAAATTAAGGGTTAATTAAATGAGGAGGGTTTTTGAGCTGTATTTCTGTTAAAGCTGGTTCCATCTCCCTCACCCCCTTCTTTAATAAAGAAAAAAAAAAAACCCAAATAGGAGGTGCACGTTTTGGACATGAACAGGCCTAAAGCACAAACCTTTCCCCTTGGAGCTTCCCCTGCTTCTGTGCTGTCACTGTGCATGCACCGTCTGCGCATCTTCAGGGACACCAGGGGCAGCAGCTCTAACAGCAAAAGGCCACAGCATTGTCTTCTGCTTGTTTCCATGTTATGTGTTACTGAAATGCAATTTCTGGTTCATGCATTACTAATTAAAAGCTCTTTAAAATTACTGCCTTGCTCTCACTTTCTTGAGGGAACTGTTAAGACCACGGGCACCTTTTCCTACAGAGCACAGCTGGCAAGGCCATGTCCCACATTTGTTTGGCCAGGCAGAGCTCTGAGCTTTAGCTGCTGCAGATCTTAGCACGGTCAGAAACAAAATTATAGCGAAGTAAAAGAGAAGGTATTGTACCAGCAGGGCCCCACATCAGGAGCCCTTACTGATCATTTCAATTGCAGGTGCCTTCCAGAATGAGAATGATACCTCAATCATACCTCAATCACCTCAGCTGTGGGAAAATTAAAAGGACAGGACTTGTGTTTCACAGAAATGCCTTCTCACTGAACAAATCCATAGTGAAAGCATGACCTGCTCCCTGGAGCAGTGATTAAAAGGCTTAGCCCATAACCTGCATGATTCTGACAGGTGGCAAGTAGTGTTGGTGGGGTGAGAAGGTAGTTTATGAGATAAACAAGGTCTTGTTTACAAGTCAAGGCTAGTGATTTTAGGCATGTCTTTCCTGTTCTAATGCAAAATGAAGCAGCTGCCAGTCCCAAATGCAGTTACCAGTCCAGGCCCAGAGGATCCCTGCAGAGCTTTTGAGCAGTGTGTGGCTTACAGCAAGCTCAGGGGGACTGGTACTGGATCCTGCTGCCTACCCAGCACAGACTAATGGAAATTGCTTTTCTGCAGCTTTCTCAGATATTCAACAGTGAGTTATATATTACCACAGTCACACCCAGAAGTGTTTTTTTAAACTGCACATGGCATTTATTTTGGATAGCACCACAGAGGTCATAGACATTTACAGCCCTGGCCTTCACAGCTCTCAGTCTAGGGAGGTGCAGCAGCAGGAACGGTGTTGCCTACTCACCACTCTTCCCTGAGGATTTGAATGAAAAGCGTCTCATCAAGGAACATGGCTGGTCATTTACTCAGTGCTCGGTTATTACATTGTCAGTGCCCAGTTTGAGCTCTGCAGCAGTTCCTGACATCACCCACTGCAGCTCAATGCCTTTGCTTACTTTGAGGAAAACTTACGAGAATATGGGAGCTTTCAGTAGGATTGCCTGTTGTCCCAACAAATATAACCCTTCCTCCAGCATGCCTGCTGACCTGATGGAAGAAAAGAAGTAAGAAGCATGGGGGAGCACGGAGGACTCACACTGGCACAAGGCCAAATTAAGAAAAAGGATAGTCACAACAAACCAAATTAATTACATACCAGGCCATTTGACTACACTGTCTTAAGTCAATTCCTTTGTTGCTAACATGAGCTTGCACCAGCACAAAAACTAGACATCAACCAGAAGCCAGTCCATTTCGAGTGTGGAATCTTCAACCTCTTAAAATCCTTCAGGGCCAAGAACCATCGTGCCCAGTTTGCCACGCTCTGGGAACCACTGCTGCTGTCTTCCCTCACTGCTTCCCCTGCAGTCTTTCCAGCTCTTCCCAGCTCCTTCCCTCCACTGCAGGCATGTGTGACGCAGCTGTAGGGACAGCGAGAGCAGCCACACTTCTATGCAGCGTGGAGACCTGATGTGCTGGCACCAAATTCTTAAAATCCAACCACCTCCCTACACGTCACACCCTTGGATTGCAACCCAGCAGCTGAGAAACACCAAGCTGCAGCTTGAACAACTGCTGTACACAAGCTCCCTCTCACAACTCACAAAACCCAATTTCAGTTCCGCTTTCAAGCCTCAAAGTGCAGAATTCTTACTCAAGATGGCACTTGATGCCTATTAATGAACACGGTTACGAGCTCTGAGCTTTCTTCTGCTTGGCCCCCAGCTCTTCAAGATCCCTCCAAGTAAATCAGTACTAACTTTACACCATTTCTCTTTACACATTTTTTTCCTCCTACATATCCCTTTTCCTCCTTCTGCTGCAATCCAAAAAGCTGCGCTCCGCTGCTCCCACAAGCAGCCTAACACTTTCCCTCACATGCAGCTTTCTGTCTTTGAGACACCTCAGCCAATGCATGTGACATAAAACCAACTTCAGAAATATTTTTTAGCCATTTCCAGTAAAGAAAGAGAAGATGGGGGAATTTCTCTAGGGAGCAATGAAAATAAACAATTGCAAAGGCAGGAGGTTTTTTGCCTCAAGGGCCAACTCAGTCTATAACAGTCTAAGAACTGGAATGGGAATTGAGAAGCTTCAAAATCAGTGTTTTACACAGCACAGACAGCTAGAGACCCCACCAGATCCCATCGATCTGACCAGTCACATGGCCAAGGGAGAAGGATTGAAGCCCCATACTCCAACAATAAGGACAGAGAGCAGAGTAAAATCTGCCCAGGAAAGCTTATGGGAAATCAAGAACCACTTCATCTGCTGAACTCTGGAGCCTGCCTGGTTCCAGTGTGACACTGCAGGGTCCTTTGCACACACTGGCAAAATGAGCAGCCACAGGATGATCAATAATCCCATGGATGCACAACTGGCACCTGCCCCTAAGATGAGAGGGAGCCAAGTGATGGAACAGGCCTCCAGAAGAAATTTGTCTTTTTCCTACCCAAGCATCCCCGCCCTCCTTTAGCCTAGAGGAAAGCAGGAAAGGACTGAGCACAAGCAGGAAAGGTGCTGATGCCTGGCAGACAGATTGGGAAACCAAGCATTTAACCACATACTTCCTAAGTGGCAGGAAATGGTGGAGTGAAAGCAGCCCAAAACCAGTGAGGAACAAAACAGAAAGGAGATGCTGCAACAGAAGCAGACAGGGATTAGTTCCTGCAAGAAGGAAACAAGGTGTCAAGAAAGTAATCCAGGAAACTGACATATGGGAATGCTGCAGCGCAGGTTTCCAAATGTACACATGCCACCAACTTTTCCCTCTTTTTGTGCAGAACTCTGCCACAGCTGCACTCCCCTGCCTAGCAGAACAACACCAGGAGCTAGAACACCCCCTGTGTTCCTCACCCAGGAAGTGACATCGCTCCTGAAAAGGGGACAACAACTGACCTGCATCAAAGCCATCCATCTTATTTTCCAGACATGGGCTGCTTTAAGCTCCAAGTTTCTGTTCCAAAAGAGGAAGGGATTTAGTCCACATAAAAAGAACAATGTAAATATCTGCTATTCATTTAATTGCTTTCAACCGATAGACATTTTTTAAAATAGGTTTATTCATTAGGATCATGTAATTTAGTTACACCCAAATTAAAGTTTACTTTCAAACCAACCAGAACAGGAATGCTGAAAACTCCCTTAAGCTCCAAACAGTTTAAAATTATCAGATCAAAACAGTGACCAACATTTTACTCTTCAATTTTTTCAGAAGTTACTCATGCCCTTTAACAGCTTCCTGAGCACATGCTTGCCACTTGAACAAGTAAACATCCTTGCAACATTTGTTTCACTTTGTGCACACACCAAGAAATAAGTTAAAATGCCCTAACAGAGGATTCTGACAGAGAAATATATACTACATCTGGACCAAACATGACAATTCTGTAAACATCAGACAAGGCTAGAGTCATCACCAATATATTCTTATGCACATTTAACAGGAAAGTTTCTGCAGTCATTGAAGTATTTGTCCAGATAATGAGAAGCATTTCAAAGGATTTTAAAACCATTTTGTACCCACGTGGAAAAGAGTTGAAAAGGTTCAGTTACACTGGTAGCCAGTAGTTAACAGAAAGCATTTAGAAATGAGAGTCCGTTTGCGGTTCTTGTACTCTTGTTTCCTTCACTCAGGAAATTAAAAGTTTCTCTTTATGAAACCTTAGCATTTGGATTTAAAATTTTCTGCCCATTTCTCATTTCAGCTCTTCTGGTTATTGCATTAATTTCTCCCTCAGTTAAGATGTGATGTGAACAGCAAGGACCAGTGGAACAGCACGTTCTGCTCATTTTCAGCTCTTCTGATTATTGCATTAATTTCTTCCTCAGTTAAGATGTGATGTGAACAGCAAGGACCAGTGGAACAGCACGGTCTCTTCATTCCAGCAGCCTACAAATACCCTTCTTAGAGATAAGTAAGTAATTTCCAGCACCTTCCAGTAATCACTACCCCTGTCCCCACAGGGAGGGGAGGAACTAGGACAAATTAATAAATAAGAAAATAAATTATACCCTTGTTCCCACCAGAAAAACTCTTTTAGGCTATTAACATCAATAGAAACTTTATCTTTGTTTGGATACAAACATCTAAGAGGTAAAAGTATCTGTGTGTCATGTTCAGGCAGCACCTTTAAACAACCTAAGAAGAGTTAGTTCCACACAAGATGTAGCCTTTCAAGATGATCCTCCAGATAAATATCAGATTCTACAGTATCATGTTCTGACTCATGTAGTTCCCTTTAACTGGCCATAAGACATTATCAGATTACAACCCAGACAAAATTCAGTGCTCTAGGACCTATCAGCCCTTTACAGAACAAAAGTTCACACAGAAAACCCTTAATCCCATACATACTTGTTTTTCAAGCTTTTCAGTTTGAGATGGTTTAAATATAACATGCCCTCAACCTTTGTTTGAAAAGGTACATTTAGGCTGTTTTGAATGTGCTAAATATTTTGTTTCCAGTGTTAAACATAAATTGTTCAAAAGAAAAGAGCATCTGCAGGAGGTCAGTTTAAACTTCAGTAGGCAACAAGAGCTTGCTGTGGAGATGATGGATGAGGTTACTTTTCTGCTGATCCAGTATTCTTATAAATGGACAAAACCTCTGCAGATCAGCCTTGGGAGGGAGCTCTACAGAGCAGTCTGCAGAATTAGACTTTTCTGTCAGTTACTTGGTTTTATTTGGTGAACCCAAATATTTGGCTTTATTTTTCCGTGGACGCTGCTGCCATGGCTGGTTTGATCCCCTCGCGCGTGGACTTCAGCTCTTCTAGTTCTGTGTTTAGTTTGCTGATCACCCACTCCAGGGCATCCCGCCCCTGCCAGAAAAATACCAGAACTTAGGATCAGAACAGACACACCGCCACTGCTCACGTTTCTATAGTTCTTCCTCTGTCAGACATGAAACTTGTTTTAAAATCAATGTCATGCTCTGTATAGTTTGATACCAGATTATATTGATAATTTCTTAGCATCTTATGGAAACGTCACTGCAAAGGCATTTGCTTCACCCCTAAGCCAGAAGCAAATGCAATGCTGGTGTGAGCTCCCAGCAGCACAAGGCCTAATTCAGCAGTCAAGTTTCCTTACCTAAGAGAATTGCTGTTTGCTGCTCTCACCACCCAAAGAATATCACAAAATATTACCTGGCAAACTCCAGGTACTGTTCTCAGCTTTATTAGCTAAGTTACATAGAAAGTTTTTGAGAAGATCCAGGAAAATGAGAGTCTTCCAGTACTCTTTGAAGTAGCAGCTAAGTGATCTGATACCTGTCAAGAGTTCAGAAGTGGACTCACACTACATTAGTACACAGCAACTTTTCAGCAGCTAAATCAGACTATCAAGAGTTCAGAAGTGGACTCACACTGAATTCTACATTAGTACACAGCAACTTTTCAGCAGCTAAATCAGACTAATGGAGAGTTGCACATTTTATATCAAGGTATGGAAATCTCTCAAGCTCAGAACCCACAGCCAGTGCTTCAGTAAGAGCTGGAGAACCCAGGGCAATAAGCCTGGCAAAAACCTTTTACCTGAAGAAGATTCTGTAGCAGCTGCACCCCAATGACCACAAGATGCAGCCAGCAGCACAACGAAGTCAAGAAAGATTTTAACTGAACAAAAGTCAAGATTTTATAACTCTGCAAGCTCAGAGTAGCAGCTTTTGTCAAAGCAAGCAGATGGGATCAGAGCAGGAGAACACCTGGCCTTTTTTCACTTAGAGAGAAGTCAAGAGACATTCACCTCTATCACTCTACTAAGAATAAGAAATACAAACAGTGGAGAGCAGTAAGTGGGAGCCACATGGCTGTGGCCAAGTTTAGAATTCTGCAGACATAGGTTTGAGCCCAAAAAGTCATAAATGCTCAGGAGAGCCATTGTCAGTGTTGAAGCCTTGTGTAGACATTGACAGAAAGGACAAGCACGGCCTCCTCTGCACAGTTTTGTTCCAAACTGTGATGTACTAATTTTGTTGTATTCACTAAAGGTGATAAAGTGCACAGAAACATCAGTGTCCAGAACCTGCTGCTCTCCTTTACAGACTACTAAACATGAACAAGAATCTGCATAAGCAGCTTTGAAAACCTAAGGAAAAAGAATGTCAGAAGAAAGCTCATACACACTGCTAGGATTTTTTTGCCAGGCTAGAAACATCAGTCTGGAATAATATGAAAAGCCCAGATCCAGAGTGCAAAGTGTAACTATTAAAAGAAATTAAGTTTTACTGGGAATAGGAGCACAGTTATCTCAAGACTCTCTTGAGATGACTCACTAAGGTCAGTGAAGGGCTGACTTGGTTTCTCTTTGGGTTTTCTATATTCCAGAACTCACAGAATAAACACTAATTGCTACTTCTGCACTGGCAGGCAGTTCTTAAACTGAGAAAAGTCATCCAGGTATCACAATAAAGTGTTCAGCTCTTGGTCAAGGCTCAGAAAGGGAGATTAAGCTCCACCCCAAATTACCTCAAGAACTAGGATGCCTAAGTTAATTAGTTCAAAAGATGCCTTTAAAAGGTACTAATAATATTCAAGGAAGCACAATTGAAATTGTCCACTTTAAGTACAGGTTGCTGATAGAAGACCTTAGAAGGGATGATTTAACTTCTGAGCTCCTCCCATTTGAGCACCAAAGTGACTGTTCTTCAGCAGGGAGTAATTTCCAACGTCTCCACAGGCTGTGCAAGACCTGGGAACACCAGCAAAGCACAAATAAAAGCACCCAGACATGGGCAAGCTACTGCACAGCAACAAGTTGTAACCAGCTGTGAATTAACTGAGTGCTCACTAAGGAAGAAGTGGGGGGCAGGGAGGGGGAATCATCTTTCAGTAAGCGGGCATTTGGACCTTTAAAAGTCAAGTTTAAATATCCTCTCTGAGGTGGCACAGGCACACAGAACTGAGACAGCAACAGCTTGGATGTTACAATTGTTATATTGCTCAAAGAAGACTTGTCAGAAGGTCAAACACCCTGGCCATACAATCAGTAGAAAAACACTGAGATTCTTTTCAGGCCCTGACTTGAAACAAGCACATCATTGTGTCTTACTTGGTATCTCTGTGGATGAGATAAATTAATTTTAAAAATCTATGACATTCAACTGGAGCACCAAGATACTTCCTCCAGTTTTTGAGAGTACATATCTGTGTATATCTCCTTAGACTTGCATACACTATATGCCATATTTTGCAGCTAAGAATAAACTCATGATTTTGGCAAGGAAGACTTCAGGAACATTCTGCACAGGAAATTAAGTTAGAAATCTCAACCAGATGCAAAGCCTCCAAGTGCCACGAAACTACCCAGTTATAAGCAAAAATCTGACAGAGGACTATCTATAAAGTGTCATACTGTACAACAAGTTCTGCAGTCAGTCATTAAGCAAGCACACTCATCCCCAGGCATGCAGGTTGTGTTATTCATTATTGCAGGTGTCAGCAGCATGACGTGGCTGGCAGAACAAGCGCTGCATATGAAGATTTGTTGGTAGAGCTTAATGACTGATAAGTGCTGAGCCTTTTTAGTTGATGTTTTCCAGAAAAACAGCCATAAAAGCTTAGTGGAATGAGAACGTAAAAGCAAACACTCATGGCATACATGGTTCTCAAAATAAGCGGTGTAAAAAGCCCAACTTTCTTAACTAGGAGAAGCAGCAAAATGGATTTCTTTCTTTTTAAGAAATCTTATTGGTTGAAGCAGAAGCCAATACAGGAATGACAGGGACAGGCTACACTGACTAGTGGAAGAAAAACAATCTGCACAGAGGTCTCACAGAGGCAAATACACTCAGTTCCCTCAACCCTGAACTCAAGATTTGTTCATAGTCATATAACTGCAGGGACATGTCACTACCAAAATGAATATAACTACAAGACCCGTGAAAAACAGCAACAGTCTGGCATCCTGACAGCTTCAAGCTTTGCACAGATTTCCTCAGAAGGGCAACACTATTCCTCAGGCAGAAGAAAAGCAAATACGATTCCGCTACGCAAAACATTATCCCTGTTAGGCAACAATTTCTGTTACAAGAAATCAATTTTATATCCTAAGAACGCAGTTCCGTTTCATTTTTATAAAGCCAATTCCACTCACTAGCCAATTTATTAATTTCTTTAGGCACCAGCTTTATATACTGAAATCTCAGAAACTAAGACCAGATCAAACACTCCGTGGAGGGACTCCTCACATCCCTAGCTGTCTGCAGTCTTCAAGCCATAAGCAAGACTGTGGCACAAGGCATGGCTGCAGCACGTCGGCTGCCCTGTGGCACGAGCACGGGTTCATGGATCCAGCCTGGACGGGGCTACGCTCACCCTCCACAGCCGCAGGGCAAGGATCAGGTCTGCCATTCCTGTATGCAAGGTGTGTGAAACAGACATGCAGGGTAATTTATGAAACCCACACAACAGTCCATGCAGATATTTGCTAGAAAGCTGAAATGCTGTACCAAGAAGAAGAAGGCTGGCATTACCACTAGTTAGTACAAACTGCAGGTGTGGAGAACTGCTAGCTTAGAGCGCTTTCAGAATTTTGAATTATCCACTCAATAGCATCCCACCCCTAGAGTAACACAAAAAGATTTACAACAAACAGCAAATGATTTTTTCATCGTCATTAAAAATAATAATTAAAAATAATAAGCTGCCACTGCTACCTCAGAGCAAAGTCTCAATAATTCCTATTTCTTCAGAACAACAAAACATTTTTTGGTAACTGTCATGAAGTTTAAGAGGGGTGTTTGGAGTGCAGAGGCACAGCACAGCATGCAACAAGTAGTAGCACAGCAGGTACTGGTTGGCAAGGAAAGGGCTGGTAACAGCAATTACAAATTCCTGCCAAGTTCAAAATCTGTCGAGACTGTTCAGTGAAATACACAGGACAAGAAGATCCTTCTGATTTGCAAGAAGCTTGTAAGCCAGTGTGTTCCTTGAAAATGGCAGAATGGAACACTCTTAAAAGAAATGGAGGTCTCTCACAGGCAACACCTCAACAAGAAACAGTTACAGTTTCTCTGATTTCAAAGGAGACATGTAAATGTAACCAATGCCTCAAGGGGAATTTTGTCAGCATTTTTAAGTGTGCCTAACTTGATCTGGCACACGAGCCAACTAGACAATGCTTTGCTACCTCTGGGTCAGCCTGAAATTTGGTTGTGAGCCAGTTTGTTCCTCTCTTTCAAGAATATACATTCCACACAGACTTTTAAATGGAAACTGGATCAGAACAGAACTGTAATTTAACTGAAATACCTTCCATTTCAAACAGAGCACCCAGCTAGGTAAAGGTACTCCTCAGTGTCTAGAAATGACTCATCTCTCCTTCCCCATCCCATGATTTTAACATGTTTTCCTCTCATCTTAGGAGAAGCACACAGAAGGGTGGAAAAGGAGGCTTTCTCCTCTTTGATCTAGTTGGTCCTACCAAGTTGGCTTACACTGTCTTGGTCAAGGAGCATCCCTCACAAGGATGAAGGGGTGGCCAAAGCACAGGATTTCTGGCATAGCAGGAGTTACCTGGCCCAGACTCCCACTGTGCTGAACCCCTCCAGCAATGCAGAACGCAATCACAAACTCCTAACAGCACTCATCCTGCTCTTAGGCAGCAAGGCCTGTCCTTCTCTAGCAATTCCATTTCTTCCCCAAAGAACTGTAGGACAAAGTGCCCAAGAATAAGCACTCCCATAGCTCTGCCTGTGCTGAAGAGCAGCTCCATGGCTGCAGGCAAAATAGAAGAAGCAAGCACAGGACAGAGCAGTCAGTGCAGTGCTACCCAGGTGAGCCAGCACAGTCTCACCTCCTTAAAGAATATGCTTCTGCTTACACTAAATCACTTTTCTCCAAAGGCAAAGAGACAGCTCAGTAATGGATATGAACTGGAACAACTGACAAAAACAGCATAGAAAATATGCTGGTATTAACTGATAAATCCACATTATAAAGGCTGAAAGTGAAGTTACATTTTCTACTAGCACTAATTCCTAGAAATAGGTTGCTGAAGTTCTATAAAAAAACCTACTGAAACACTGCAAACAAAATCTGGAGAAATTATATATAACATTCAACACACACCACTGACAATTACTATTTCAAAAGAAAGAGTGATTGGGTGAGGAAGAATGGGAGAAAACAGAACAAAGACGTACCTTTCTGGCATTAGAAGATATTGTGTTTGCCATCAAGCTTTCCAGATAACTGCTCAAGCTAATGCCTTTAACAGTAATAATTGCTTCTTGGGTTAGCACAGTCCTGTAAGGGAATAAAGAAAGGTTAACACCTAAGCTGAACTGGACTAACAAACCGTCTCCTAGACACAAAGATGCACACAAATTTCCTTACTTACTTTTCTGGGTTTTCTGGATGAGGTGTGTAAACCAGTCTCTCGTCAACAGACACCAAGTTTGTGAGCGTAATCTTAAAAACAAAACCAGAGCTGAAGTCCTCACTTCCCACCTTTCATTTTTCTGTAATCAGCAGCACTACTCAATAGCAGAGCACTCAATTTAATGTCAAAATACTGTACACAGAATATAAACCCCAGAACACAGTCAATAAAAAGACCTATAAAGGGTGATGCATCTTCTCCTACCCTTGATCCAATTATATCAAAGTTCCCATTCACAGGAAGAGCACCAACAGCTCTCTCTGAATGTCGAGGCTGATTTATGGGCAGTGATTAAGAGAGGCTCTTCCAGACCCCCATAGCACCACCTGGACTAGACAGAGAATTAATACTCAGGAAGGACAAGGCCTCTTGTACAGAGACAAGGCTCTCCTACAGACAACCCCACATTAAATCTGAGACTTACGAGTTACCAGGATACCAAAATGTAGCACAATGCTTCATTTACATTCTATGGAAAAAGGCATTTCACATTAAAACTTTAGTTGAAAATTACAGAACTCGTTCATCTAAAAGTCAAATGATTTTACATGCATTCTGAGAAATAATCTTACATTAAAAGCAGAATCACAAATGTTTGAAGATGAAGTATTTAAATTAGAAGAAAAAGGGATGGGAAAAAGAGTCATCTAAGACACTGATTAAGACCTGTAAATTGTTGCCTCCAATGAAAGACACAGATACATTTCTAATCTAAATGTTAAGAGCAAAACATCCAACTTCCAGAACTAATTATCAGAAACTTCATAAGCCACCACTCACATTAGTTGAGCAAAGCTCCATCTTCTTTTCCACTGGATCTACCACAGAATGCTCCTCTATGTAAGTCAGAGTTCTACTTGTTCCTAATATCTAAAGGGGAAAAAAAATGTTAAGTACCAAAATCCAACAAACAAACAGAACCTTAAAACACATAAATGCCAAGTTCTCAGTGACCCCAAATAAATACAAATACATGGATATCAGAGGAGTGTGATCAGTGGTGAGACTTCATTGTCTAGATTGTATCAGCCACAGAGCATGGCACAGACCAGCCTGGAAGGCACTTATAGACATTCACAAATTACTATGAAGTCAGCTCCAATTGACAGGATGACATAAAAGGGATCACACCCTTAATACAGAAGGAAGGCTGCAAAAATGTACCGCTTTGACAATACTGGGCAATCCCCACTCCGTGCTGAGAAGACGGTGACTGTGCAGCCTCCCCTGGTTATCCAGGCTCCTGTTGAGGACATCTACTCCTACCACACATGGATTCATGGGGTTGGGGTACTTCCTCATAGCAGCTTTGATCACAGTATCCCAGGGATGCCTGCAGAAGGAAGAGGTGAGAGGATTTGTAAGTATTTAGTACTGGATCGCAAGCAATCACACGGCACTAAATCAGAATATAGGTTGTGCTATATGGTTCGGGCTGTACAGCTTCAGAGCTCCCAGAAGTCCCTTTGGAATGCTTGGTTATGCTTGGAAAGGCAATTAGAGAGTATTGGTACAAAAACAGAAGAAAAATTAAATTCTTCTCTCCAGACTGAAGCAAGCAATTATTAACACAAGGCTAAGAAAAATGAAGGCAAGGAGCAACAGTCACTCACTGCTCCAAGTGACATTCCAAGCAGCACCCACGGAAATGGTGGAACACTACTGCTTCCAGCAGTTTGTTAGCATGAATTCCAGTTATGGATACTCCTCTCAGAACTGTTTTTATGAAACAAATTTTGATAACCTCAAATTCCTGCGATTGGAGCAGTCCTGCTACTCATGGCCAGGCTGTCCACACAGTTCTTGAGGTACTTCACATATTTCCTTCTGAAACAGAGGAGGCTACAGAAACCATGGACTTGATCCAACAGAGAAATTCTGTCCCTAATTATTGCTATATTCAGAACACTGACTGTCCTGACATAACAGCCTTAAAGCCTTTAAAGGTATGTTTAAAAATTCAACAATTGGTATCTAACTTAAGAAGGCTTAGGGGTGCCAACTTGCACTTAACAGTTGCACTTGGGGCCCTAAATGGATTTTATTTTAGTCTTAAAATAGACTGGTACAGAAAGGCACTGACAGGACAGCACTACAAGAACAAACAGAAAGTTGGAAAAATAACAAGAAAAGTGTCAGAAAGCTTTACTGGTGCAAGCAAGAGAAATAAGAGCCCTCAATTCCTGCAGCAGAAGGAGAGCTGGAGGATTGTTCCTTGTTCCATCTTTAGTGACTTTACACCTCCATCAACAGCAGATACACAAACTGAAAATGACAAAATTCTGTTAAATGTCCCTAAGGGATTGAGTCAGATATCTGATAAGGCACAACAACATTTTATTAACCATTCAAATGAACTACCTACACCCACACACATTACGCCATAAGACGGGGATGTTCTAATACAGAACTTGATGAGAAAATGTCAAACAAAAATAGCTTTTGCATTCCCTAGGTGACAGATACTCATCTCAAACTCGGGAGTTGTGTCATGCTCGAGCAGCCTCTGCCTGATATTTCCTGCTAGAAACCACAGCTCACTGACACCAGACCAGTGCTGAAGCAGAGCACCGAGTACCTGCATCAGTGCAAGCAATTCAGTTGTGTTGAGATAATTACAGAAATTCAGAGCAACACATCAGGGATATTTTGTAAATAATTTAAGAACTATCACTCCCGGTGCTCTTCGTGCCTCAAGACTTTCGGAACACCTGTAGCAGGGGAATCATCGGCGGTGGCATTCCCAGAGCTGCACGGGCGCTGCGGAGCCCTGCACAGCTCGCTACACACCCCCGATCCTTCTCCCTGCTGCTCCCCGGGACAGCTCGCTACACACCCCCGATCCTTCTCCCTGCTGCTCCCCGGGACAGCTCGCTACACACTCCCGATCCTTCTCCCTGCTGCTCCCCGGGACTGCTCGCTACACACTCCCGATCCTTCTCCCTGCTGCTTCCTCGTCAGGCGGAGGTGGAAGCGGGCGGCCAGCGCGCGTTCCATGCGGAAAGCACTGATGGAGGGAACACGGACTGGGAGCTGGCTGCCGGGCACACAGCGGCAGTGCCCGAGCCTAAGGAACACCGTCTCTCTGCCCGCACCTCTTGGAATACATCACAGGCTACATCGGCAGTTTGGGATTTATTTCTATTTGTGACGTGAAAGTTATTTTCCCTAAACATCCAGCCCTTTACCAAGCCACCACGCTGCGGGGCCAGCTCTACCGCTCCATCCTGTTGGAATGCTGTTCCCGACAGGAGAAGCCCAGGCGCGGGGTCTGGCCGCGCAGGAAGCAGCTCGAGACGATGCAGGACCGGCACCACCGAGGCCCGTTCCCGGCCTCCCTCCTCCTCCTCCTCCGGCCGCTCCCGCAGCATTCCCATTTCCGCCGTCATCCCGACGGGACCCGGCTCGCCCCTCGTGGCCCGGCTCGGTGAAGCGCCGGGGTCCCGCCGCGCCCTCCAGCCCTCCCCGCCCGGCCTCCTCACCCGAACACGTGCTCCGAGCTCCAGATCTTCATGGCAGCCGGCGCTGTGCCCCTCAGAGCCTCGCTGTGTCCCTCAGAGCCCGGCTGTGCCCCTCAGAGCCCGGCTGTGTCCCTCAGAGCCCGGCGGGAAGGACGGCGCGCGCGGCACTGCCCGGCTGACTGACAGCCTCGCGCCGGCCCGGCGAGAGCGAGCGGCCGCCGGGAGGGGCGCGGGGGGCGTGCCCGGGCCGGCGCGCGCGTCACGCGCCTGCGTCACCGCCTCGCCCCGCCCCCCGCGCCCATGGAAGAGGCGGCGCAGCGCACATGCGCAGGAGCGTGCGGCGGCCTGGCCTGGTGTCCGCGTCCCGGGCTGGAAGTGGCTCGCAGGGATCGTCCGAGTCCATTCGTAGCCCTGCACAGGACAGCCCCAGGAATCACTCCGTGTGCCCGACAGCGTTATCCAAACGCTTCTCGAACTCTGTCAGGCTTGGTGCTGTGGCCGTTTTCCTGGGGGCCTGTTCCAGTGCTCAACCAGCCTTTTCCTGATATCCAGCCTAAACCTCCCGATACAGTTCGAGCTCCTGAAAGGTGCATCCTGAGAAAGCAGTTCTGCATTACCATTGACTGTTCCCCCTGATCCTCAGAAACCAACCCTCAGTACAAAGGAGAGGTGGAGCTCCCAGAGCAGGTCTGGTGGAGAGCTGCAAATATGATGAAGGAGTTGGAGCATCTCTCTCATGAGGGAGGAAGGGCTGACTGACCTAGGCCTGTTCAGCCTCCAGGAGAGATGGCTGAAACAGGACCCTATCCATGTGTATATTTAGAGGGGGGGTGCCCAGAGCATGGATCCAGGCTCTCCTTGGTGGTGCCAAGCATTAGGACAAGAGGCAACAGGCAGAAACTGATACACAGGAAGCTCTGTCCATCTGAATACGAGGAAGAACTTGTTTACTGTGTGGGTGACCAAGCACTGGAACAGATTGCCCAGAGAGGCTGTGGAGTCTCCCTTGCTGGAGATACTCAAGCACCATCTGGATGCAACTCTGTGCCATGTGCTCTGGGTTAACCCTGGCTGAGCAGGGAGGTTGGACCCGATGACCCACTGTGGTCCCTTCCTTTCCCATTTTGTGATTTTGGGATTTTGTGAGCTACCAGCGTTCTGGTTTAATTAAACCAGGAGTTTTGATTAAATACCCTAATAACAGCCATGGAGGTGACACGCAGCCAGGGGCATCATGTGCAGGGCTGTGCCCAGGGATGAAGTCATTGTTGAGGAATACACGAGGAGCAGTAGCTTGGTTTGCAAGCTGCAGATGGAGATGGGGCTCTCAGTGGGAGCCTGAGACAAGAGGCCATGAACTGCCAAACCTTTGGTGGTGTCAGCCAGGTGAATGGTCACTGGGAGACACAGCAGGAGCGAAGACTCATGAGTAAGAGCGAGATTTGCATGTGGCTTGGACTGTGAGAGTATAAAAGCTAGGGGTTCCTTTGGGTTCCTTTGTTGGGGTCCCTTCTCAGGGGCACGAGCTGGGGCTGTTTCTGTGTTACTGCACCATGAATAAATTGCTTTATGGAATGAGACATTTGAGACTCTGCCATGAGGAACGTGGGGTGGATCCAGTAAGCAAACCTGGCCTGAATAAATTTCTGTATCGAATGAGACATTTGAGACTCTGCCATGAGGAACGTGGGGTGGATCCAGTAAGGAAACCTGGCCTGACTGTGTGAGGGGGGTCAAGTGGGGCACCTGTGGGTGCACTGGAGCTGCCTGCTGGAAAGGGGTGCTTGTCCCAGCAGTGAAAGTCTCTGGCCTTGGGAATGTGACTGGCAGAGTTTTGTGAATGGTCAAACTGGGATGTTTCCTTAACGGTGACAATGCCAAATGCCTGAGTTCACCTAGAGGACTTTGCACGGACAGCAAACACATTGATATGAAACGCCTTACATAATGGGGCAAAACTAGGAGACAGGTTTCCTTATTTCCTACCTCCGGGCTTTGTAGAACATTACTGCAGGCTAAGCCAGCCCTGGCAGGAGGAGACCCGCCCTTCTCAGTGATGCTGGCTGGGCTGAGCCGTGTCCCGCTGACTCAAGGGACAAGCTGGAAAGATGGGCTGGGACTGAGGGCATGAGGTTCAGCAAGAACAAATGCTGGGTCCTGCACTTTGGCCACAATAACCCCATGCAGCGCTACTCAGAGTGCTGAGAAAGTGAGCCAGTGGAAAAGGACCAGGGGGTGCTGGTCAGCAAGAGCTGAATGTGGCCAGCATGTGCCCAGGTGGCCAAGAAGGTCAGTGGTACCCTGGCCTGCATCAGGAACAGTGTGGCCGGCAGGGCCAGGACAGGGATTTCCCCCTGTATTCAGCTCTGGTGAGGCTGCACCTCAAATATTGTGTTCAGTTCTGGGCCCCTCAGCTCAGAAGGACATTGAGGTGCTGGAATGTGCCCAGAGGAGGGCAGCGAGGCTGGTGAAGGGTCTGGAGCACATCCTGCGAGGAGCAGCTGAGGGAGCTGGGGGTGTTTAGCCTGGAGAACAGGCGGCTCAGGGGTGACCTTATCGCTCTCTACAGCTGTCTGACAGGAGGTTCTGGCCAGGTAGCGGTCGGTGTCTTCTCCCGGGTAAGCAGGACGAGAGCACATAACTACAAACTGCGCCAGGGGAGGTTCAGGTTGGACATGAGGGAGAAATTCCTCTCAGAAAGGCTGATTAAACATCGGAATGCGCTGCTCCGGGGCTAGTGTTGTCGCTGTCCCTGGAGGTGTTCAAGGAGAGCTCGGACGTGGTACGTGGTGCCATGGTCTAGTTGACGTGGTGGTGTTGGGTCACAGGCTGCCCTCGATGATCCCGCAGATCTTTTCCGAGCCGATGGATTCCGCCCCAGGGCGGGCGGCGCTCCGGTGCTGACGGCGGTGGGCGTGGCCAGAAGACGGAGCGTGAGCCTCCTGGGGGCGTGGCCTCCGCCAGGGGGCGGGGCCAGGTGTGCCCTTCGGACGCGGAGGAAATGCACGCGGCAGCGCAACATCGGAATGAGCTGCTCCGGGGGGTGGTGTTGTCACTGTCCCTGGAGGTGTTCAAGGAGAGCTCGGACGTGGTACGTGGTGCCATGGTCTAGTTGACGTGGTGGTGTTGGGTCACAGGCTGCCCTCGATGATCCCGCAGATCTTTTCCGAGCCGATGGATTCCGCCCCAGGGCGGGCGGCGCTCCGGTGCTGACGGCGGTGGGCGTGGCCAGAAGACGGAGCGTGAGCCTCCTGGGGGCGTGGCCTCCGCCAGGGGGCGGGGCCAGGTGTGCCCTTCGGACGCGGAGGAAATGCACGCGGCAGCGCGGTGACGTCAGGCGGCGCGGGCCGGCGGTGACGGCGGGTCCGGGCGGCCATGGCGCACCGGTACCTGCTGCTGGCGCGGGGCGGCGGCTGCCGCCGGGGGCTGCCCGGGGCCCCGCTGCAGCAGCTGCTCTGCGGGAGGGGCCTGCTCGGGGGGACAAGGCCCTGCCTGGCGCAGGTGAGGAGCGAGCGGCCCGGGGATCGAGGGAGGGCCGTGGTGGCGGTGGCGGGCGGCCGCGGGGCGGGGAAAGGCGCCCCGCTGCTCGGAGCCGAGCGCGTCTCTGCTGCCCGCGGCCTTCCCCGGCTCTCCTCAGCCCGTTCGGAGGACGTGGCCCGGCCTGCTCGGTACCGGCCCTTCCGGGCGGCGGCGAACGAGGGCCCGTGGATGGGTGAGCGGGCGGGCTGGGGTGGCACTCCCGGCCTGGAAGTGGCAGCTCCGTGCGGGAGAACCTGCGGGCTCCTTCGGCCGCAGCAGGCTCGTCCTGCAGAAGGAAGACGGGGCGACATCCCAGAGCTGCTGCTGGTGCTGCATCCCGCCGGTATTCATAGAAACTTATAATGTTAGGAGGTTGAAGGGATTCAAGGATTTTCTCCTCCCCACTCCTCTGCCATGGACAGGGACACCTGCCACTGCACCAGGTTGCTTAGAAGCCCATGCAGCCTGGCCTTGAACACTACATCTGCAGCAACACGTTCCAGTGTCTCACCACTCTCACAGTAAATAATTTCTTCCTAATATCTAACTTAATTTCTCCTCTTTGAATTTGTACCCACTTCTTCCTGTCTTATCACTACAGTTCCTGATAAAGAGTCCCTCTCTGGCTTCTCTGTAGACCCACTTCAGGTACTGTAAGGTAACTGTGAGCTCTCCATGCAACTTTCCTCTGGGCTGAGCAGCCCCAACTTTCTCAGCTTCTCCTCGTAGAGCAGGGTTCCCAGCTTCCCACTGCTTTTCCAGGTGCTGTGTCCCACCTGATTCCAAAGTTCTTCCATTGCTTTCTCAGGATGATGAGTTGTGTTAGGTGGGTTTGTGGCTGGGTGAGAGGCTGAAATGTTAAAGATTAGTGGCTGAGCAGTTTGTTTTGGGTGTCAGTGTTCTGGAAAAGGGGGACCTGGTTGTTTGCACCCCGGGATTGCACAGTGCAATGATGCCATGAATCTGCACATACAGTTGTGGTACTAACTGGTGAAGCATGAGGTCTGTGCGTTCATTCTTAGTAAAATGGCCTTTGCTGTCAGCTGTTACAAGATGTGTGTTACCCTTGCTGACAGCTTTAACACAGTGACAGGCCTATGGGACTGCTTGGGAAAAGGGATATGCTTAATTCCTCTCTCTCTCATGGGCGTCTGGCTTTGCTTTGTTTTCCTGTAGCACAGAGTGTTAGAACCACCACACCTTTATAGCTGTCGGGGTTATCTGTATAGTGATAATTGTGAGAGGAATACACACAGAAAGATGTTAGTAGCTTTGTTGTCAGCTTGAATATGTGGCTTGTTTTTAATGGTGAATTTGGTTTTGTTTGGTCAGAGCTGAACATCATTTCAGTAATAAATAAAACATTGTCAGCAGTGCTGCTGATCTCTCAGGAAGCTAATTCTTGTTACTTTCAACAAAATTTAATGAGTTCCTATTTGTAATCAATCTTAGGAAGGGGACTTTGTATTCATTCT